CATCTACATATTCTCCATTTTTTTTTCTAGAAAAAAGAAATAATATATATATATATATATATATAAATACAATGTAGAATCTGCAAAGCATCAATTCTCCACCCAACCATTAGCGTGTATCGCACGTGCTTTACAATATAATTTACATATATCTGGTGACGTACATCCGTTTATAGTTTTTTATATCCGGTGTAGAAGAAATTTTTAAAATTTTCCGCACTAGATGGCGACAGGTTAGCATTCGATATCCGGACAGCATTGAGGATAAGGTCCTTCCCCTCGTATCATTTTACATCCTTCGGGAACATCGATAACTCCACACCTACATTAAATATTATTATATTTTACATATATATTTTTTTAAAAATTAATTATTTATTATATTTAAATTTTAAAAATATTTACCTGTAAGTTTTTATATGTCGAATTCCTCTAATCATGACGCATTTGTGCCGTTCGCATCTGTCGTTATCCGTCCAAACGTCTTTTAATTCGTGTTTATTTCCGTTTTTATCGATGCAAACGCCTTAAAAATAAAATTAATTAATTAATAAAAACTTCGGATTTAATTCCGCTTTAAGAATTTTCTTTCAAATATTTTAAAAATTTAAGAAAACCATACTTATAATTGTTCGTTCGTGTAAAATCCGCCATGATGTTAATGCGCGCGGCAAGACGCGACGCGACATAAAAATAATACATGTCTCTTAAACAAAATTCATTTTATCTTTTAAAAGTGTAAAATATAATATATTATAGCTAATATACAGTATATATACTATAAATAAATTGTATAAAATGTTTTCTCTTTTAAAAAAGAGACATTTAATATCTCTACTTTCATTTCGCGTCGCGTCGCTTCTCCATGATGCGGAAGTGTATTATCACTTTATAGCATTGAACATTAAATTTTTTAAGCTTTCCATATATGTATAGATGCCTTATATTCTTACATAACACGGTTGTTTTCAATATATAAATTATAATATATGGATACGATTTGTTTTAATTTTTTCATTAGCGACGCTACGACGCGTCGCGTCGCTTATCTCTTTTTCTCCAAACAACCATATAAAAAATAATAATAAACATGAAAATAGTTTATATAAATGATAAATGCTTAGTAAGACAGAAATTCGCGTGGGGCCTCGCGCTTGTAAGCTAAACACTCTGCAGCTTAGGGCTCACGTTATAAGTCTACAGCTTAAGGACTCATATCATTGTTTAGTGAAGGGAAAGAGGGCCATAAGTACGGGCCTCACCTATACATAAGAGTATTCTCAACTGAAAACTTAGGGCCTCGCGTTATACGTCTTCAGTATAGGGCCCCATATTATTATTTAGTGAAGGGAAATAGCTTGGTTATACGCTACAGCTTAGAGCCACAAGTACAAGCCCATCCTGTACAGCCCTCGCATATACACAAGAGTATTAGCAACTCAATTCTATCCAAACAATTTTAAATTTTAACCCAAAGAACCCACAAAAAAATCTATAAAACAGTACCAAATATATGAAATTAAGCATTACTTACCGGGTCCAACCTCTTGGGGTGTGAGGAGTATAGCAGCATACAAGAACTGCACGAGTAGACAAACACATATTCCACAGGTGTATAACTTAGTTACGATTGCCATGGCTCTTGTTATGCTCCAAACTTCACAAACCACAACTTATATAGTACCTTTTATAAACGTATATTTCAACATAATTCAAAGAATCGTAAATTATAAATACCAGACACGTAGTAGTATGAGAATATATTCCAAACCACGCAACCTAATTTAGACTTTCCTCTTAAAAATGAGAGGAAGGATGATGTCATTTCCTCACACCTTACTTAATATTGTTTAGAATGCGTGGTTACGCAGTGACGTGTGTATAAAATGCGCGTGCTTGTGTATGTGGAAATCTGTAAATAACACTAAAGATAATGGCTTTATCCCTGACCTTTAATTACATAATATCCACTGTTATCGTCTCTAATTAATCATCCTTAATTTCTTTTCTTTTTATCTAATTTTAATTAAATTTGTATATAAATTTAAGCCTTAAATGCGTTAATTTATTGCCTAAACTTGAAGTTTTCTACGAATTTAATGAAATAAAATGAATTTATTTGCAAATTAAATTAATTTAATATTTGTANAGAAAATTGTTTTGTAACTATGTCGTTTGATTTGTTACAAAACTCCTCAGGATTTCCTAAATATTTTATAATTATTTTAAAGGTATTCAATAATATATATATAGAGAGGTTTAAAGGGTTTATATTATACTGAAATTCTATAGAATAATTATCAATATAAAAGAAATTAAACTGTAATATCATTAAACACTATCTAACGTAGAAAGTAGCGTAACTAAAATGGGAATACAGTCCAACCTGCGATAACGGACACCTCTCAACAACGGCCACCGACGGGAACGTAAAGAAACGGCCGTTGTTCAGAGGTTCCGCCATCAAAAAGAGGAGGAATTTGGGTTCATTTTCATGGAATTTGTATTGTATATGCTTTAAATTTACGTCTTAAAGGTCTTGGCAATAGAATTATATGATTAATTTATGGTAAATGTGAATTTTACCATAAAACTTTACCATTAAAGGAGAATAAAATGAAGGAGTAGTTGTAAATATATTGTAGTTATGGTAGAAATGGTAGAGGAAATATATTAGAGATTAACTTACGATATTTAAGTAGAATCACTTAAAATAATAAATGTAATTATGGTAATTATGGTAAAATTAATTCTTAAAAAACGTCTAATGATAATAATTTAAAGGATATTTTAATCTAAAGAAATGGCAAAGGAACCAAAACATTTAATGAATATCATGATTATTAAAATGGAATTAAATTAAAGGAATAATTGATGAAATTAATTACAATTAAGCCCCCATTTATTGTAATTATATTTTATTTGATTATTCTCTAATTTAAAAAGAAATAAATAAATAAAATAATAAATAAAATATAAGTGAAAAACATAACAATACCATAACAATCAATTAAATTTTAATTTAAAATTAAACTTTCTTATGATTTATTATATTATTCTACACAAAATAGGCCTATATATACATTTTTTTAAAATAATAATGTCTATATAATTATTAAGTGGATAAAATATATTAAATATATCAAATTAAATTAATAAAATATTATAGAATTTTGCTTGTAAACCCTATTATAGATGCTCTATTATAGACTTATTTCTTGCCTAAGGCCCTACAATATTATAGACTTATTTTGCCTATAGGCCCTACAACAAATGCTGTATTATAATAGCTATAATTTTTTTTTTAATTAATACCCAATTTTCCTTCAATTTTATACTCACCCTTTCATCTTTATATTAATTAAAATGTAATTAATTCACACATTAAATCTGTAACAAACACTTGTGTGACGTGATCTATAATATATATATATATATATATA